TAATAAAAAACTATAAAGTTTATTAAAACTCCCAATATATTTTTTATTTGAAAAGATGAAGCACAGAAATGAAAAATAAATGAATTAAAAATCAAAAAAATATTTTTTTAAATTGGTTGAATTTTTCTCACAATTTTTTAATACTAAACAATTATTTAATATTTTTAGTTTAAAATTATTTTTGAAATTTTTTCATTTTAATTTTAATAAAAACATATTTATTCTTATTGTTTGATTTATATTAATATATTTTAATATATTTTAAAATAAACTAAACACAATTAACTTTATTTTTATTAAAAAAAATATATTAAGTCACAAATATTAGTGATTAAAATCACAATTTATATTTTTATAATTTTTTTAAAACAAAAGAAGACACCAAATATTAAAAACTGTTCACCTTAACACACAACATCCAATGTTTTTACATTGAAAATAAATAAAATGGCGAACGATTTTATTGAGCTCATTAATCGAGTATTTAAAACTTAAAAAATTTGAATTAAACACCTCAAACTGAATAATAAAAAAACACAAGAAATGCATCCATTTCCAATTAAAATATTGATTACAACATCTTTAGATGAAGAAAAACCACTTCCTCAATCACTTCAATTAATTCGTGATGAAGTAATCCGTCTTGGTGCCACTCCCATAATCACACATAACCTTCACGACGCATATGAAGAACTCAAAAGAACTATAGAAATTTCCGCCATTTTTTTCGATTGGGATAGTGAGTACCAAAAGTGTAAAGACAAGCTCAGAAAATTTCTTTTTCCTTTCACTTCACAGATCTTTGACCACAAAGTGTTAGTTCTTCCCGCGACAGAAAAAGACCCGTTTTTACAGGCCAAAACGCCTTTAATGCATTTAGAAGAGGAGGGCTATACCCTTATCGTCCCTCGCTCCTATCCCGACGCGAAAATCAGTGAACTTCAGAAAGTTGAGACGCACGAAGAGCTTCTGAAAGTGATGGAAAAAGATCAATTAAAGGTCGTCCCGTCTCCGCTGACTGCCATTCGAACTTTTAAGTCGATTAACAGGAAGATTCTCATCTTTTTATACACCGAGCGACTTTTCATCGAACGACTACCTATTCAAGTACTCGAGTCCATTGAGGCATATTTCTGGAAAGGTGAGGAAACACCCACTTTTGTAGCCAAACGGATGGTCACGCAAGCTTCCGAGTACATCGAAGACATTCTTCCTCCCTTTTTCAAGGCCCTTGTCAAATACTTGAATCAGGGGAAGTACTCCTGGCACTCTCCTGGGCACATGGGTGGTGTCGCGTACCTTCGTAGTCCACCTGGGAAGTTCTTTTATGATTTCTATGGGGAGAACATGTTGTGTAGTGATTTGAGTTGTTCTGTATGTGAACTTGGGAGTCTTTTAAATCACACGGGACCTATCGGAGAAGCCGAGAAATACGCTTCTAAAGTGTTTGGCAGCGAATTCACTTATTTCGTCTTAAACGGGACTTCCACAGCAAATAAGATGGTCTTCCAAGGCACCGTCCCTTCCGGCAAAGTCGTCGTCTTAGACCGCAACGCGCACAAATCTTCGATGCAAGCGATTATGACTGGGAACTACAAGCCTGTTTATTTGTCTCCTGTTCGAAACAAGTATGGTATAATAGGCCCAATCCCCTTCTCAGAGTTCTCTGTTAAAAATGTGACACAAAAAGCGAGTAAAATGAATTTTTTTAATAAAGGGGATATCGACGACGGTGTTCAGTTGTTTGTATTAACTCAATGTACATATGACGGGATCTGTTATAACGTTAATAAAGTCCTTCAAAGTCTTACTCAATTAGATGCTAAGAATGCTATGTTTGATGAGGCTTGGTTCCCTTATGCTCACTTCCACCCCTTTTACGCCTCTTTCCATTCGATGAACAAAGACTTCTTCGACAAGTTCGACGAGAACGACGAGAGTCTCTTCCACGGAAGTTCAGCACTTCAAGACACTGACGAAGATGAAGAAGTTCGAAGGAGTATGACTCCAAACTCATTCAAAGGGACTATATATGCCACGCAAAGTACTCATAAAGTCCTTGCCGCGTTATCACAGTGCTCTATGGTCCACGTCAGAAACTCGACGGACCCATTCAAATTTGATAAGTTCAATACATACTTCCAAGCTAATACAACAACATCCCCACAATACTCTTTAATCGCGTCTTTAGACATGTCCTCTGCTATTATGGACATCTCCGGGGAGTCTATTTTAGACGACGTCTTAAAAGAAGTTATTTCATTCCGCTGTGCAATGGCGCGCGTCAAAAGTGAATTTAAAGAGTCTGGCGAGGGCTGGTTCTTTAATGTGTGGCAGCCCAGTGACATTCTTTCGGGGAAGAAGAACATCTATGAGACTAATTACTGGATCCTTCCCCCAAGTGGCCCAGACGCGTGGCATGGCTTTCCTAATATCGGGAAGAACCAATACCTCTTAGACCCACTTAAAGTGAATATATTGACTGTAGACGAGGATTTGGATATAGAGATACCGGCGTGTGTAGTCTGTCGATTCTTAGCTATGAATGGCATTATTATGGAGAAGATGGGGTATTACACTATGCTCTCACTCTTCACCGTCGGCAGCAGAAGAGGAAAGTCCGCAACTTTAATCACCGCGCTGACACAATTTAAGAAGTTGTACGACACAAACACACCACTGAAGTACGTGTTCACACAGGAGAAGTCCCTCGACTCGGAAAATGTCGGACTGAAGGACTTCTGCAATATGATGAACCCTGAAATAAAGAAAATGCAGGAAATGGAAAACGCAACGTTCTCGGGGAATCTGCCAGAGGTCGCCTGTTCACCTTTTGTCGCGTCTAATGCACTTATTAGTGACGAAGTCGAGTGGGTCAAAGTGGAGAATTTAACAGGAAGAGTCTCAGCTTTACTCTGTGTCAATTATCCACCGGGAATCCCAACTATTATGCCTGGAGAAATATTCGACCAGTTGCATACAGACATGATGATCGCATTGGCTCACTTCGAGGAGAGATGGCCCGGTTATGAATTCGAAGTGCATGGATTGGTGAAGAAGAATAATAACTTCTTTATACCATGTTTGAAAGAATAAGTACTATTTTTTAATACAATTCTGTTAGTGATATAAAATAACTCTTTAATCGTCTGAAAGGAAAACGTATAGTTCAGTTTTAACTATAAATCTATATATAGTAATTGGATCAAATATTGCGTTTCTACTAAAAACAACTTTTGTGTAAAATGTGATATCAAACACAAAATATCTAATGACGGACTTTCATGTTTGGAAGACAACAAATACTTTTTAAAAATCGGTCTACCTGTTATAGTTATTATAATAGTTTTAATTGTTATAATTATAGTAATAGCTACTGTTGTCATCTATCTTATTCTCCAACACAAAAAGAAGAAAGAAGAGATGAAAACGGTCTGTATATTTAACATGAATAAGTCAAACATTACGTTTGGTGAAATGTCTTCGAATATAGTTTCGAATTTGAACAAAATTGAATTTGAGAGTGACACAAATTGTGGAATTGCAAGTACTGATATTCCAGTAGACAGCGAGACGCGTGCATTGCCATGTATTGGTAACATTTCTAAAAACAAGCAAAAAAAATTAATTTAGTGTTATTGAAGGCTGCGAGTTGTATTCCATTAGAACGGTGCCTTCCCTTGTGACACTAAAGAATAACGAGGCGTGCGAATTTGAAGTCTTTTTGAAGCCAAATTGCACATGTCAAATTTAAGATGAAATTTTGTGTATCTCACTCGATATCAAAAAAGGCGAACAAATTACAAATAAAATCAAAATTAAAGCAAAAACCATTTTGACGACTAAATTGAACAATTCCGAGTTGTTAGAAAATGTCAAACTTGGCGAAGGAAGTTTTGGGATTGTATACAAGGGCACTTTTAGAAAACAAGATGTTGCCATTAAACGACTTAAAAGTGTCACAGATGATAATAAGTCGGTGGAAGAATTTGAAAAGGAAGTTTCTATGTTGGACAAATTCCGAAGTGAGTACATCATCCACTTCTATGGCGCAGTCTTTATACCAAAGAAAATCTGTTTGGTCACCGAATTCGCGAAATATGGGAGTTTACATGATCTTATGAAAAAATCTCAGAACGGCTCAAAAAGTACGTCAAAAAGGGAATTGAATACCGATATAAATAACACCAAACCCGATATCACAATATTAAGAAAATTCATATTGGATATGGCAAAGGAAATATCGTTTTTACATAACAATGGCATTGTACATCGAGATATTAAACCAGACAATTTACTCGTGTTTTCACTTGAAATGAATGACGAAATAAATGCCAAATTAACTGATTTTGGAAGTGCAAGAAACATTAATATGATGATGACTAATATGACATTCACGAAAGGTATTGGGACACCAAAGTACATGGCGCCTGAAGTCTTAAATCGAGAGAAGTACAAAATGCCGTCAGACATATACTCATTCGCTATTACGATGTATGAAACATTTAATTGGGGAGATGCATATCCTAAAAATAAATTTCAATATGCCTGGAGCATCGCAGACTTTGTTACAAGCGGAAAACATCTCGAAAAGAATCAGAATATAGGGAATGAAGAATTCGATATCATAGAAAAGATGTGGTGTACAGACCCACATAACAGAGTTGAGATTGATAAAATTATCGATGCTATTAATCATATAATTCATTAACTTAACATTATTAAAGTGTGGATATGAAATAAATTGATTTTGTCAAGCAAACAATAAAAAACGTAATAATATAACATTTAAAGAGAATACTAAATGTTATTAATCGAAGATATTTTTATTTTATTGAATCGAATTGTTTTTTAATTAAATTATATTAAAATTAAATATTATTAAAAATATATTGTATTAATTTTCTTACACTCAACTGTATATTTAAACACTACAAATAATAAAAACATATTTTTTTCATTGAAACAAAAATTCGTTTGTAATAATAAAATAGATTGTTTACTTATTTTGGAATGATTCAGTATATTCAGTTATTCACACAAATACAATTTCTAAAAGACTTATTATTTTTATATCGTTTTTAAAACTATTTAACATTTGAATTTGTTTCATTTCGTTACAAAGTGATGCTCACTATTAATATGAAAAATAATTATTACACAATTATTAAATGGTTATTATTTATTTAAATTGTAATATTCATATTCAGTTTATGATTATATTGATGATAAAATATATATAATAATATAATAAATAATGTTTTGTTTTTTTTGATAAAGTTTTGGAAAATTGGTCAAAAATAAAATGTTGTGTATTTAATTTTGGTCAGTCATTTTATTTTTAATAATGTTTTGAGTGTATTTAAATTGTTATATTGATGTAATTTTTATTAAAACTTAATATGATTTGTTGTTTTATATTAAAACTGAATTTATATAAGGTTATTTTTTTCAATAAAATTTTAAATTGAATTGTTTACAATTTAAAACAGTTCATATTCACGTTTCAAAAAAATATAAAAAATATGAAATATTACTTTTACAAAATATTTTGAATGGAAATGCGTTTTTTGTTATTACTCAAAAGTGAAACAACAAACAACAA